GTGAACGGAGCCTCGAAGGTGTTAACAGTCTCAAAATTTGCAACTTTACTCATCCTTCCCTTCCTTTTCAGAGGAAGCGGTGCCCAGTTCTTTGCCAAGGCTAAGTCTTCCTGACCTTTTCACGCCTCCCCTCTCACCTGCTCTCAAAACCCGTCTCCCTGTTCTCTTATTTCCATTGTCTGCCTTTCCAAGGACTCCTCCAAACAAGTCATGTACTGGTTTCCCTCAGCCTTAAAAAATGTTTAAATCGTCCTCCCTGAAGCCTTTTCCTCGGCCTCAATCCACTGCAGTATCTTACTTTTACCTTTTACTTCCTTTCATCTCTTCGTCCACTTGCGCGGTTCTTGAAGGGGCTGTTTATGCTGCTGCCTGCACATTCGTGCTTCCCATTCATTCATTTCCAAACCAGTCTAACCTGGATTCTTCTTCCCTGCTGCGCTAAAATTGCTTCAGTGGTGCACTTAGTAGTTGCCTGATACAGGGACCTTGTCCTGGGTCTACTTGGCCTTTCTGGGGTGTTTGATATCATCGACTATCCCCCTTCCTTCTAGAACTCTTCTTTTGTGGTTTATATGACAGTGTTTTCTGCTCACTCTCTTATTACATTGTTGACTGTATTTTGCTTTTCTTCTTTTAGATGTTTCTCAACTCTTAGTGTTTCTAGTGTTTTGTTTTTTAAGTTCCTTTTTTCACCTACGTTATTGGTACTCTACCTTGTTACCACCAAGGACTTCTTAGATTTATTTTGTTTTGTATAAATTTTTGTGGAACCCCATTTTGAATAAACTGCATTAATTACAGAAGAAATCTTACAATGTTTGCAATAAAAATAGAAAGCACAAATACTGATTTTTAAAATGATTTTCCTGTTTTCTACTCTAAACATTTTCTGCGTATGTTATAGTAAAGCAGCATGGGTTCCACTTAAGTAATTCCAATTATGGCGAAATCCGAAAGCAGTTGAGTTTTCTAAAGTAGAAAAATATCATTAAGTCTTTTGCTTGTGTTTGGGGGAACTTTCATCTCTAACTTAAATTTCAAGTTGACTCGTGTTTTAGTGGTAAGTTTTATCATTTGTCCTATATTTTGTTGTTTGCATGGCTGGTTTTGGTCTCAGTGTCTCTAAATGAAACGCTGTGAAAAGCTCCAGAAGAATCTGTCCTTGAAGCCATTGGTGTATACATCATTCTCTAAGTTATGTGAATTATGATATTGTTAGCTGGTTTACTGTAGTAACTTTTACCCAACAGCAAATGCCATTAAATTATACTTATTTCTAAATAAGTTTGTTTTAACAGGAATGCAAAATAAAATAGGTTTTGTTTTTCCAGTGGCAAAAATCATCTTAGCTGTAGTATGTGAAAGTTTAAAGCCTCTCTTCATTCTGGATTAGAATTTAGTGCAGTATTTTTTTCTATATGGAAACATTTTACCATTTTAATTACTGGTTTTGTCAAGTCCGATTGAGTAGGTCATTGAGAGAGAATAATTTACTGGTGCTCTGAGATAGGACTGTGTGTTTGGGTGACTTCGTTACATGACCTTGGGCAAGATACTTACCCACTTATTTTCAC